CAGGGGTTCGGCCATTTTTAAAACGTGAATGCCACCCAAAAGTTTGTGCACGACCCATTGCGGACTCCCCAAATGCTTGCTTTAGGATTTCATAGGTTTCCGTAGCCGTTTTGGCGAGTCTTTGGCAAAATTTGATTTGTTCATGAAAATCCGCCATTCCGAAATCGCAGGAGGGTCGGTGTAATGCACTACCAAAACGCCCGTAACTAAGAAACAAATGCTAATTCGATGATGCCGGCTGGCACACTGATTCACTATGAATGTAGGCCGCACCCCCTAAAGGCAGAAGCTCGTACTACATCCGGTTCGCCCTCTATTGACACAGTCTTGAAGCTTTCCGATAGCACCTCGTATTATCGTGGAACTGCTTAAGATAACGCACGTTTTGAAAGCTTCAAATTGAAAAGATGTTATTCCAACTCTTGAATCCTCACCAGCATTGGGCTTACAAAATGCAACATATCTAGAGAACTTCGCCAGATCTTTGTCAGTTTGACCCCCTCCCCCACAAAATTAGCTTACTGCCCTCCTTTTATGATGAAATAGAGACTTATGTATGGTGTCATTATGCCCGTGTGCCTGTCTATCCTAACTCCGTGTAAAGGATTTCATGAATTATCTGGATGTAAAATATTTTATCGAGATACCGGTCAAATTAAACATTCCAAACATCATGACAATTTCTTTTGGACATTTTTCGTTATATGACAAAAAAAAATTCGTCCAGACTGTGAGCATTTTATCTGCATGTTTTCCGCCAGTTAAATAAATTACAACTTAAGAGAGTTTCCTTTGGACGATGTCTTTAGCCGAATCCAGGTAGTGGACATCGCCCGTGTAAAATTTCCCCATAGCAAAAATTAGATGCAAGACTCAAACAATACGTAGGCGCTGATGGGGGCCGTAAACTACGCACAGCATCGGCACAACCTTGTGTTTTACGATCTTGCACAATAGGATATACGTGACTTGCTTTCAGATAATCTCCTATCAACAGGCTACCCAGACGACTGATTTGGGTACACAAGTCACCTCACATCTTTAAGGCAGTGACAGCCGGACTTGCGTGTAAGCAAATTCGAAGATTCTACTCAAGCGAAAAATGAATTTGGATAAAGTCAACGGTGTTTTGAATTTCTGATATCAAAAGTTGAATCTAGGGAAACGTTGAACGCAACCAGTAGCCTATATCGACAAAATTTGGCAGAAAAACTTAATGGTTTAGCTAGTTTATAACCTTAAGGTACAATTTGGCTGCACGCGACAGAGACAAGCGACCGAGGCAGGCGACAGAGTTACGCGACCGAGACTGGTCGCTTCCTGTCTGCTCTCTGTAGAATCGTATGAAGTACAATTACGAGCGCGAGACAAAGACAGGCGACAGAGACAAAGCACAGGAGACCGCTCTCGGACCAGTAGTGTCTCGCGACGGGCTCAGGCAGCACGTCAGTACGTAACCAAACTGCTTATGATTCAATCTGAAATAACTCCTGAAATTATCTTCTTCTAACGATAAATGATTCTTTATTAACAGACAGAAAAATCCTTCTTCGCGTCTGGTTTTGAATATTGAATTCATAGGTTTTCTTTGTTTCTTTCGCAACAAATAACACAGCAACACATCATCTTCTTCGAGTAACCTTTTTAGAAGCATTTTTGTACTCATTTTTCACAGAATATGTGCACGTATGTCTCAACAAAACAAAGAAAACAAACACTTTGCCGCATGTCTCGGTCGTCACCTCAAAAGTGTGTGGCGACAAGCTGCGATGTGTCCGTCTCCCGTCTCGGTCGCTTGTCTCTGTCGCGTGCAGCCAAATTGTACCTTTAGACTTCTTATTCACAATTGTTTAACCTCTTTTAATGACTTCACATCACCTTTTAGATTTGAAGGAGTACTCAGAATATTTACGGCACTTCACCCGTCATTTGAACGCTTTCTTACAAAACACTGACCGCATGACAGTTATTCAGTTGTCAGGCACGCCTATTATCCACGTAAATTTCATACTTGACAAACCAGGAACCTGACAGAAGAGGCTAGGAAATCGCCTCCACGGGGAATCCCGCTTGTAATACGGCATGAAATGAACACACTTCAATCAACAGAATGAATAAGAGTGAGGTGTTCACGTGCTGCTTTAAGGAGAATAGGTTGAATTGTCAATAGTAAAAGTACATTATAGTGTGGGGTTTTGTGTTGTTCCGAAATCGAAACTTTAAGACTCCTGATACTACATTGCAAATAACTGACCACAGCACCTTAAGTAACAACGTCACAAATACTCTTTGAATACGAAAAGCGTGATAAAACAGCTAGGTTAAGGCTTATGAAACGGCAATAAGATTCGCTGAGGCATTACTGAAACGTCTTCAGACCAGGGGTTCACAGCCTTTGAAAGAAACGGGCCACATTCACATTGTCGCCATGACGTAAATGTGTTTAAATGTCGATTCATTAAAAACACATTTGCATGTGGGCCTACATAAAAATTTTCGTAAAACAAATGTTATTTGTATTAATTATTCGCGAGAAAAAAAATTTGGGCTGGTACTGTCTTTATATTACACGGGTTTCGGCGATGATATACACGGCACGCACACATCGGTGGGCCGCGGGTTGAGAACAACCTTCGTTGACCGTAGACGGACAAATTACGAGCCGGTGCTTGGAGAGGTCTCTCAGCATATGCTATTACAGTAAACCCTCGATTTAATGGGTTAAAACCTAAAATGTCCTGTAATGACCGTTGGTAATTCTTGTACTTAATTATCTCTCACTCAGAAGGAGGAACACAGATTACAGGTGTTTGAGAATCGGTTGTTGAGGAGGATATTTGGGCCTAAGAGGGAAGACGATGGGGCGTGGAGAAAACTGCACAATGACGAGCTTAAAAATCTGTACTCCTCCCCCAGTATTGTCAGGGTGATTAAGTTGAGAAGAATTAGATGGGCGGGGCATGTGGCACGCATGGATGGGACAAGAGGTGTGCACCGGGTACTGGTTGGGAAACCTGAAGGGAAGAGACCGCTGGGGAGACCTAGAAGTAGAAGGAAGGATAATCTCAGGCGGGATTTATGGGAGATAGGAGTTGAAGGAAACTGGATTTGGTTAATTCGGTGACGAACCCTCGGCTTCCGTAAACCATCTAATTAGTTACTTTGTTTATATTTCTTTACATTGCAGTGTTTTAATTAAGCTTGTGCCATTGTAGGTGCCCACTTCATATTACAAATCTCTTTAATGATGTTCCTAATGGAAATTGTGTTCTAAGGATACATCACTGGCATCGTAAAAACAAATGTGCAATTTGAAGATGGCTGTCTTATGGGTTGTTGCGCCGTGTAGTCTGGTAGAAGTTTGCCGACGTTTCGGAGGTCCTTGCTGCCTCCATCATCAGGGCGCCCTAATGATGGAGGCAGCAAGGACCTCCGAAACGTTGGTAAACATCGACCAGGCTACACAGCGCAACAACCCAGAAGACAGAAATCTTCATACTAATCGCCCTGATGACGGAGGCAGTATGACCTCTGAAACGTTGGTAAACATCGACCAGACTACACAGTTCAACAACCCAGAAGACAGATATCGTCATACTCATCGCCCTGATGATGGAGGCAGTATGACCTCCGAAACGTTGGTAAACATCGACCAGACTACACAGCGCAACAACCCAGAAGACAGAAATCTTCATACTCATCGCCCTGATGACGGAGGCAGTATGACCTCT